TGATGCGTAAGGCGATCCGTTCCAGGGAGAGGGCCCCCTCTATAAAAGAAGTGGGCGCTCCCTTCCCACTGATGTGAGTAGTCCCCCCACTCACCCTCTAAAGAAGAGATCACTGGGAGAATGGGACACACCTGACTCTTGCCCTGGTGGTGGAGGGACAGGCAGCATCTCACCCCCCTGACTGCTTCCCCCCCCCCCCGAGTCCTACCCTGAGATTGCAGAAGGGAGTTGACTTTTGGAGCCAGATTACGCATCCAGGCTATCCTAGCCATCTCTTCACCCTGGGGGAGCTGCTTGCCACCTTGACTAGTACAGGTAAAGGAAGGCAACGGGGACTGTCCCTGTGATTGCGCAATCCACTCAGGCTGCGTCGGTACCGATAAAGTCTCGTCGGATTGAATTGGTTCAGTCTCTAAAGGCCGTGTCGATTCCACCTCGGACCTCGGTGTCGATGTCAGTGCCCCAGTGGAAACACGCTGTTTATCAACATCGGTCACTGTGGTGACTTAAAACTCTGATCTCCCAGCAAAAGCGGTTGAACGTGTTAGTTAGCCTCGGTAATATTCAGTGGGGAAACTAACTCCACTTTGAGAGAATTCAGATCCACCACCGGTGTTCCCGCACTATTGACCGACATTTCCGTTACCTCAACGGTAAATGGTTCTGAAGGTCTTGTCTCAATCATCGACCCCGCTACCTCGAGCCAGGAGTCAGATCGTGACAACTCTCCAACAATCTCAGCGATTACCAAGTGGAGGGAGAGATTTTTCACTCATTGTAACATTGCTAGCTTGTGGCTAGGGATTTCCCCTTTTATCCCGACTACCAGCTTTTAATCGCTTGCCTTCAGCTTTTCACTTCCCTCAATGCAACTACGTTTTAGGATCCCATCGATCGCAGAGACCCTCAGGGAATTGCCTTATTCCCTGACGCAATCAAGCGTGAAAGGCAATAGGCGGGACCCAAACAGGCATTTATTAAAGGCAGGATGTGCATGCCTTATGTCCCGACTGTTGCGTCGAGACATCTTTTTTTACGACTTGGGCATATTGCAGTCCAAAAAAAAACGAAAAATGAGATAGTGAAGAAAAGAGCAAATTCACCACATGAGAATTCGGAACCCGGGTGAATAAAAACTGAGCTGGCGATTCAACTAACACAGGTAAAAAATAAATTGTGGAAATATAGTAGTAAGGCCAAAAAATCAGATTGCTGTCAATCGGCCATCCTTGACCAGATTTTGAAACAAATTGTCATGGACATGCATCCTAACATGTATAAAGTACATGTATGTGCCAAATTTGAATGAAAACTGACAGAGCACTTCCAAGATACCGCATAAAAACAAAACAAGATGCCTGCCAGTCGACCATCTTTGATCCAATTGCGAAATAAATTGTCATGGACATGTAACCTTACATGTATAATCTATGTACCAAGTTTGAATGACAACTGACAAAGCATGTCCAAAATACAACATTTTCAAAAAACAAGATGGCTGCCAGTCGGCCATTTTGAATCGAATCGCTAAACCACTGCATGTGCATATGTCTAACATAAGGTACTAGGCACATGCAAAGAATGAACGGAATCGGTCCACAGGATTCTGAAATATTACTATTGACAGACTGACGCACGAACGGACGGACAGACGCAGGAACTCACAGACGGTCGGGGACATGTATCCTTACATGTATGATCGATGTACTAAATTTGAATGAAAACTGACAAAGCATGTCCAATATACAACATTTTCAAAGAACAAGATGGCTGCCAGTCGGCCATCTTTGATCCAATTGTGAAATAAATCGTCATGGACATGTATCCTAACATGTATAATCTATGTACCAAATTTGAATGAAAACTGACAAAGCATGTCCAAAATACAACATTTTCAAATAACAAGATGGCTGCCAGTCGGCCATTTTGAATCGAATCGCTAAACCACTGCATGTGCATATGTCCCAGATAAAGTACTAGGCACATGCAAAGAATGAACGAAATCGGTCCAAGGCATTCTGAGATATGACTCCGGACAGACGCACGGATGCACAGACGGAGACCAAATTTAATATATAAAGTCCCCGTTTTCGGACTTCGTCCGAACGGGGACTAAAAAGGAGGCCCCTAACAATGGAAAGCTTTTACCGTAAAGAGGTCAATCACCAATACTAGATTACTAGATTCTCAGTCATAAAACTGTAACCTGCACTTTTGTCCATGCGTTGCAAAGGAGCTGAAAAATATCTGTACTCATTGGTCGCGCAAACAAAAGAGAATGGGATTAATCGGATTGGGCCTCGAATTGAGCGTGAGCATTCTGAGGATGACCCCTTAGGAGAGGCCTTTTTTCTATAGGGAATGCTACCCTAAGGTCTTTTTTGTGAACAGGGTATATTCCATAATAGTTTCCGAATGGGGCTGTAATCTGTAGTTAAGCCTACGAGTAATAAATGAAATTTATTATTTCCACGAACTTTCTAGTAGGTGATGTAGTAAACTGTGATGGTTAACAGAATATAAATGATTCTCCAAGTGTTAACTCCAAGTGTGCCAATCAATCAATTCAATTCTCAAAACATGCACATCCGGCGAATAACATCTTCAGGGCTACATATAAAATAATATTTTGTTTGGAGATTTCTCCAAAATTACATTGATAATCACATCCACAAATATCTCGTCCTAGTATTCCATGAAAAAACACTACACTTCACTCCATTGAACTCAAGAGTAGGCCTACTTATCCCCAGTTATTTTTAACATTTGCTTTGTTTTTACGTCATCTCATTTTTTTATATAATCTTCTGCATGGTAAAAATATTAAACTATGAATACGGTATAGTGTTTTTGAAATTTACCACAAAAGGCAAATTCAGTCGATACTTGGAAATTGTACATTTCACCCATAGTATATTATAATGTGGGACAATTCCCATTGAACAACAGTACGAAAACCAACCCATTCACAATTCATGGCCATCACACATGACATATCAAACTCCGTGCATGAATGAAATACCAAAATCCTATTGGTTGGACCAGGTGATTTTTGCTACAGCAGTAATTTATTATTTTCCTCTAGCAATTGAACCATCTGACAGGAAACAGCCACGTTCAACTACTTAGTCTGCTAAGTAATTCAATCACTGACAAAGACATTAAAATAATTTAACCATTCCAAAATAAGTATTCATTCACAGTCCAATCAATAGAAGTACGGTAAGCATTTTACAGATGATAATAAGATTTTCTGCAGTCACAGAGAAAAATAGAATATACCATTATAATGAAGGGATAATAGCTATAGCTCATTTCTGACTAACCTGAAAGCCTGCATAGTGACCGATCTGTGAGGATAAATTTAACAGAAAAGCAATGCGTGTTAATGGTTGTAAGATGGTGATGGAGCTATCAGGCAGGGGGTACACATCCAAACAGACACACTCATTTTGGCACATATACCGTATATACGCATTGTACAACTTATTATAAGAGATAAGATAATTACGCAGTGTGTGTTGTGATTATCCTTTTAGCAGGCACAGGAACAATAAGAAACCAAGACAGAAATATTATTATTAGAATGATGATGAAAAAAAAGGAGTGAAATAAGTCTAAACCGAACCCAGGGTGAACAAAAGTCTTGTTTATGCTGTATATTTTTTCCAGTCCGTTCTTAATAGAATAACTTATAAATAACATCTATAAAGGTAGCGAAACTATTATTTGCATACTTGTTTTCATCTTCTAAATGACTACAAATAGACCCGGGAAAGTATATATTTTTAGAATCGCCAGACTTCAAGCTTTTCACAAGTGTATTTTGCATGCCCGTATCTGCATTCTACGACGCGTTACTCAATCAAAGGTGAAAAATTACTTTTTCTGTAAAAAAAATAATTACGCATTTACGCTGGCGATAAGAAGTATTTTTTTCACTTTTCCTAGTTGTTCAATAGTCTGGTAAATTGAATGTGTCTGGTCAGTTTTATTCAAGCAACGCGTTTTAAAAAATAGTGTGCTGAATTTCAATTACTGTTTTAGTCACATTGCCCCCAACTCAAACCACAACTCGTTGGTAAATAATCGATGAAATAGTTTGTCTGGACACATTCAAGTTCCTCTCATTGTCACCTTAAAGCTGTGAAAATTTGGTGTTAATCCGACGACAATAAGTATACGTTATTTTT